GCTTTAGTTTCAGGCCCTCAGGCTGTGTTTCGTTGTTGTTGCTAAGGTAACTTGCTTGTAAAGATAAAAGATGACTGAGATACTAGGAGGAGAGAACTGACGCACAGAGGGATCAGAACCCTGGCTGTTCTTCGAGGTTCTCTCCAGATCCAGACCACCTCATGGGAGCCGGGACCACTCCTCGGGGCTCTGCTTCGCTGACACTGACCTCAGTCAGTGGGCTCCGGGTCCGGCCTGCCAAGACACACCTGCAGGAGTCGGCCCTGCCTGCTTCTGCACACCACTGAGTTCTTTGAAGGAGAAATGCTGCAGCATTCTCTGGCAGTCTGGACATTCTTGTGGCAAGCGGCACTGTTAGAGTCCCTAAAGGAATTCAGCTGGAATCGTGTCCTTGAGAAATTAGCCAGCCAGTTTTCTAACAGTTCCTGCATTTTTAAGGAATGAAAGTTTTCTCACGGGGCTTTTCTTTTAGCGATGGGAGCGTCCTGGGGCTGGGCTGGGTGCTGCTTCTGTCAGGTGCTCTGTCCTCTCACTGGTTTTCGGGTTTTGCTCAGGTGCCTGCTCCTCATTCACTCTCAGGTGTTGCTGATTAACCGAGCCTCGGCCCCCACACAGGACTCTACTTGAGCTCAGCTTTGTGTTCCTGGACTTGCTTCCATTACTACTGTCCTGAGGGCTCATTCCTAATCACAGGCCCCACCCTCGAAGCTGAGCCCCACCCTGCCCTGCCTCTCCTTGTCTCTTCCTTTGGAAAGATAATTCTTTTGAGACAGGGTTTCCCAAAGTTGATCTTGGGATCCTTCTGCCTCAGCCTCCTGGGCAGCTGGGCATAGGGGTGTGTGCAGCCTCAGGATTTCCTGAAGAGGCGGAGCGGCAGGTGCAAGGCATGCCCCAGGAGAAGGGAAGGGCAGACAGTGGAGGGATGTCTCACTGGTGTTCGAATCCAAATCTTGTGGCTTTAGTTTATGAAATTCCTCCTCTTAACAGAAAGTAAGCTCAGCAGGCCTCTCCTCTCCCCTTTTCAGCCTTAATATTTTGCCTTCCCTTGCTGTGTGATTCCACGCTCATCCCTTTTCTCCCCACTGGGCCCCTGGCCCGGCCCTGTCCCTGTCCCTGGGGCCCCCACCTGGACCTCCATCCCTCAGAGCCACCAGCCAGGCTCCCCGAGGCCAGTGACAGCCAGCCTGTCCCAGACTCTTCCAGTTCCCCCTGTGGTGCGGCCCTCTGTCCTCCGCACCGTGTGGGCCATGCAGCTTTTTCCTGGGGTCTCCTTAGGCTCTCAGACTCATTTTCATATCCATGTCGGCCCAGGGGTTGGGGTCACCTTCAGCCTCAGCATGCAGCTGTGGGATGGGTGTCTCAGTCGGTCTCTGCTGCTGGGCCAGAGCTGGCAGAGTCCGGGGAAGGGAGCGGGGTGACTGCGCTCATGGCAGTGGGGTCTTTGTGAACTGGGGGACCAGTTTCCTCTCTCACTCTGGCTGCGCAGGGCACCTGAGTGCTTCTTGTACCCAGAGGTAAACTCAGAATCCAGAGCCTGTGGGGCTCCTGCATTCTCTCTCCTGCCCTGAGGCTGTGCTGCCTTGGGCTGGTAGGACCTGGGCCAACCCTGCCATCCTCCCTGGTGTCCTCTCTGCCCTGGCTGCACATGGGCACTGCTCCAGACCTGGAGACCACCACTCTCCCTCCAGACCATGTGCCGGCGCACATCTGCTGGTTTGTCGGGTTTGGGTGACTGTATTAATAGGAAAACATCAGTTGACGTGGGTGCAAATGTTTCATTAACTCAATATCACCTTTATTGGTCATTTTTTAAAGACCTTTTAAAAGGCTATGCACCTCCATTCCCTGCATGCTGGCCAGTTTCTTGACCAGCACTGTTGAAGACCACAACTCAGCTCTGCGGCACCTGGCAAGGCCGCATCCCTTAGCCACAGGCCTGCTAGCTCTGCTCAGTGGAAGGCGCCACCTGGTGGGAGCGGCAGCAGGGAGACCAGGTGCAGGGCAGCTCCCTGCTGCCAAGGCCCCTGCCCTCCTGACCTCCTCCTCAGGTGGACACTGGCACCTGCTAGGCCTGGGGCCCTGGCTCACAGAGGAGAACCATTGCTGAGCGTCCCCACAGCCGACTGAGGCAGCGGCTGAGTGAGGGTGGAGCCACAGGGGTCCAGGGGTGGATGAGGAAGGCAAGTCTCTGGACAGCGTCCAGCTCAGGCTTGGGATTCTGGTGCCTGTGCTGCGGTGAGGCCACGGAGACTTGGTAATGTGATGAATACGTCAGGGCAGTTGGAGCGGAGGAAGCTTCCTGTAGAGCTGCTGGGGAATGGGCCAGTGATGTTGCTAACGTGGATAAGATGACTGCTAAGAGGGAAAGCAGAAGCACTCCATCTTGGGAGCAGCCGAATAATCGATAATTTGATTCTTGGCGTCCTGTTTGCCAGGGGGCTTTCACAGTGGGGACACATGGCCTAACATCTGGCCTTGTCAAGAGTCAAATACTCCTGAGAACCCTCGCAGAGCTCAAACATATCTCAATATTCTCCTGTTACTTTCTGGATTTCATGACTTCCCGAAGCTCTCCCTGCAGCATCTGATTGTTTATCTTGTAAATAAATAAGGCAAGAATTACAGTTCGGGAAGATGGGAATGTGATGTGATATCATAGAGGACGTGGGGGTACAGTAATCGCCCCAGTGGCCCCTCTCCTGGTTTATATTTGTGTCGAAGCTCCCGGTTGTGCGTGTGTAATGGATTCTCCATGGTTTATGTGGCTGTTCTAATGAAGTTTCAGTGGAGGCTTTGTTCAGTCGCATGGTTGCACAGCTTCCTTGAGGAAGTCGGGTCCTCCCCGTGCCGCGTGGCCTATGCTCCCTCTGAGCTGGCTGGGAATGGCCGTGGTGGAGCGGGCTTCTCGCCCCGTCCAGGTCTGCCTGCGTCCCCAGCTTCTCTTGGAAGCGGGCTTCCTATGCAGTGAGTTTCACAGGGCACTGCCTGTGACTCAGGTGACTTTGGTAGCCACACCATCCCTCCTTTAAAAGTGCAAGCCCACTACCACTGCTGTCCCCACTGTGGTCCTTTAACAGTCAGGAGACACTTGGGGCCATCTCGGCCACTCTGGAGAGCACGAGAGGCCCTCTGGGACCGAAGAAAGGAAAATACCCAATCCTGAGCCTTCAAGTTATTTGAGCCCCTCAATTACTTGTACCCTGAACCTTCCTCAAAGGCCGATACATAAGCGCAAGTTGGTGTCGGGGTGTGGCGGGGATTCCTGTGTAGCCGTGGAGCTCTCCCTTCACAGAACACGCTGGCAGGCCCCCTGCAATGCCACCATGGCAGCAGGGTCTGCTCCATGCCCTTCCAGGGCCATCACACCAGGGCTGTCCCCAGCCTGACCACATGCTCTGTCCCTCTTCCTCCTCCCTGCCCACCGCCCATCCATGCACGGGGAGGCCAGGCCCACAGAGTGTCCACCCCAGCATCCCCTCATCTCTGAGCCATGTGTGCGCCAGGGCCGAGAATCCACTGCCAGGTGACAGCAGTCCATGGCTTTCGGAAACAGCTTTCTGTTCCGGCTCCTTAAAGCGCATCCAGGTAAAAGCCTGGCCTGAAGGAAATAAGGCATCGAAAGTATTTTACTGAGCTTCTTAAAAAGTTAAACGTCGTCCATACCAGTGAGTGAGAGGCACCGCAGGATGGCTAAACGCAGAGGTTTTCTGGACTCTTGGAGCTGCACCCACACAGACGCAGCCGGGGCCACCACATCCCGACCCGCAGTGCCAGGCAGCGCAGGGCAGGGCCACGCTGGGCATCCCCAGGCCATCACCGGGTAACTGTTTCTGTGGCAACAGGACACTGCCTGCTCAGGCCTTGTCCTCGTCCTAGCCATGTGGCTTCACACAGGTCCAAGCTCGGGTGGCTCAGCTCTGAGCAAAGAGGACCACAGGGACTGGGCCAGGTGGTGGGGCTGATTCTCAGATGTGTTCCACAGGGGAACAACATGCAGAGCAGTTTCCCATAAGACAGAAAATCACAGTATGAGAAACCAGTGACGTCAATAGGGAAAAAATCTGTAGAAACTAAATCCTTTTTGCCTTTTAGATGGTGTATATCTAGTTAGCCCAAAAACTTAGCCTTTTATAATCACTGAATTACTTTAAGCAGTAGCCTAGAGCCGTGATGGCAAACCTCTTAGCGCTTCCCATGATAACAAACAGCCTGCTGTGACACACGTGCCATAGGTTCACCACCTCTGGTCTAGAGGTTCTAGAACAAAGAAAGAATGTGAAATGAATCCTTGGAGTCGGTGGTGAATACGTGAATTGCGGGATGCCCAAAACAGAATGTACCTTTGGATTTACAGGCTCGTGAAACACCCAAGCCACTGAATCTTTGTTCTCACTAGACTGAAGCTCTTAAATATAAACGTGAAAGCTAACAGCAAGACTTCCGGGTCCCGTGGGGTCCCAGAGGGATGCCTTGGTTAGAGCTAGTCTGACAGTGTGTGCCTGACAGAAGGGGTGTAGGCCGGGGGACCAGGGTGGGGAGATCTCATGCATGCTTTGCCGTACCGACAAGTTGAGGCCCTGACGGCGGCTTGTTCTCCATGGCTTCCGCCCCCTTCCTGGAGGCCCCGTCCATGTGGCCCCTTCCTGTCCGGCTCAGGGCAGCCATGACCGTCGGAGCTGCGACTGTGAGAAGCGGGTTGCAACGTGAACTGCACCCTCCCCTCCCCGCCTGTTTCTCTCTTGGTTGCTCTGAACCCCGGGCCTCTTTTTCCACCCCCAGAGCCTGTGTCTGACAGGGAGAGTAGACTGGAGCTGCCCTGCAGCTCTCTCTGAGAGCTGGGAGGAGGAGATGCCCGCCGGACACGGTCTGGCCCAGCAGAGGGCCCGCCCTTCCCTGGGAGGCGGCCTCCTCGCGGCCAGCGCGGGCCCAGGGACTGTCTTGGTGTTGTTTGTGTGCAGTCTGTGCTGCTTCCTGAACGCATGTGTCCCTTCCATTCACAGCCTACTCGACACCCAGCACCTCCCCCGCAAACCGATTCGTCAGTGTTGGACCACGGGACCCAAGCTTTGTAAATATCCCTCAACAGACACAGGTGGGCCGTCTCCTCTTTTCTGTATGTGCTGCAGCTCGTGTTCCTCGCAGGTGCGCTGTACCTCGTCCTCTGGCTCGGCAGGCGCATGCCCAGCCCCTCCGCCCGCCTGCTGCCCCTCCCAGCCCTCGGCCCCTTTTCCCGGTGTCTTCCAGAGTCGTAGAAAACGTGCTGCAAGTCTGCATCTGGGCTCGGGGGTGGCGGAGGGAGCTTCCGTGCCGGGACTGCTTCTGCGGTGGCAGCTGAGGGTGCCCAGAGCGAGCTGCCCGCCACTGATCGCGGACGAACGGAGTGGCCGCGGAGCCCGGTGCATGCTGGGAGGGCCAGAACTGACAGACCCGAGAGAGGAGGGAGGGAGCGGGCCGTGCTGAGTTTGGAGGTCCTGCAGGGTGACCTGGCCCTGGGGAGCAAGGTGCCGGCTGGGTCGTAAGGTGTGCGTGAGGCAGGCAGCTGACAGAGGACGGCAGCATGCCCGGGGCGCGTGTTCGAGGCCCTGGAGTTTGGGGCAAGTGCAGGCCGAGTTCTGTGCAGAGCTTGGAGTGGCTGCAAGACCCGAGACGCAGGGCCCGGCCCAGAGCTGCAGTGTGTGGGGTACGGTCAGAGTCACGTGGGGAGACCGCTCTCAGCTCCAGACTAATGTGCCAGTCTGCCCTCACCCCCGACGCCAGGGAGCATGTCCTCTGAGAGGTCCGGGTGGGGCGGGCTGCGGTTTCTGCTGGGCCAGCACCGCGTCAGAGCGGTCACTCAGTCACTCGGAAGCTGGCGGGGCCACGGCACAGCCAGGACGGACGGACGGGCAGGCGGGCGGCTGCCCTGGAGCTCCCTCGCCTGCTGTCGCCTCTCAAGTCTCTGCCACAAGGCAGGGAGGTTACCGTCTCCTGGTCCGAGGCCCTGAAATCTTCCAGTTATTTTCCAGCCTACTTTCCATTCGGCCACATCATATCCACATTGCTTTCCCGGGGAGCTTGACGTTGCATAATTACCTTGATTGAAAATACTAAAACAGAAGGACACGGTTTCCCCCGCGCTTCTGGGCTGTGTTCAAGCTCAGTGAGGGGCAGGTGGGGGCTGAGGTGCTGTGCCTGGTAGTTGCTTTCTTTTCTAAAACACTAGTGTGCTCAACATGCTTCATTAATAGATTTTAAAATGCAGCTTGGAAACGACCTGTTTGCACTGGTACGTGGTATTTTTATACACACTGTGATTCACAGTCCTGAAATTGCACTCACTGTCCCATTCAATTTATTTCTCTATAATCAAAGCGTGTTATAGTCCAGTATTTTTATAAATGTCTTATTTAACCCAAAAACTGAGTCTTCATGATGCTGACCACAAAAAATCAATTCTTAAAAATCCAGATTTTCCACGCATCTGGCCAAATGATGTCATGCAGACCTAATACTGGCATGTGGAACTGAGTTCCTTTGGTTTCTGTTAAATATTTGGCACCACAGGAACAACAGCTTAAACGTTTCTTACCGCAGCGACACCTGCCATGTCGGGCTTGAAGAAAGCCATTCCCATGTGCCTATGAGAAACTGCTAATAGAGTTGTCACTTCACGCATATAAAATCTGGAGGGAAGCGTTGTGTGCCCTAAAAAATTTAATTTATGGTGTATATATCAACTATTTTTAAAAAACGAAAATACTTTCTGGAACTAAAGTGCGAGGTATGTGTAGATACAAATAATAAGGTAGGAATAGGCCTTAAAAACAGGCTCCCTTTCAGGAGGACATCAGTTCAGAAGGGGGGTATTTAAGAGGATTTTAAAATTCAGCTTGAGCGTGTTCTACAGATAATTTCCTAGCCAGCCGGATTTTTCCATATTGATACCTTTGCTTTGAGGCATGAAGTTTACATTAATTGAATTTGAGGAAAAGTTGTCTCGAAAAGTAAAATTTTGCTTTATACCTCTGGAGGAATAAAAGTTGGAGGGTCCCGGTCTTGGTCACTTTCCTTGTTGCTGGCACAGCGTAAGGGAAGAGCGGTTTGTTTTGGCTGCCGGCTCAGTCGGGCTCCGCCAGCTCCAGCTCGGAGGAAGGAACGGGAGGCGGAGGGAGGGGCCTGGAGAGGCGAGCGGCTCGGCTCCGAAGGGAGGGCACCGCGAGCAGAGCGGGGCAGGCGGGGAGGGGCGATGAACCCTTCCAGGCCCGCCGCCGAACCGCCTCTCCCTCCGAGCCGCCCCTGGGTTAGGCACCGCCGACCCAACCACCTTCCAGGGCTGGGTCGCGCATGGGGGCTGGAGACAGAGCCCAGAAGTCGCCTGGTGCCTGAGCTTTCTGAGCGCGGCCTGAGTGGAGCAGAGTGACGCGGGCACGGCGCCCCGCTCCCAGAGGCCTGCGTCCGCCCGAGGCCGCTCTGATGAGGACTCGCGGCCCGCGCTGCCTGGTGTCCCGGAGCGGCTCCGGGGCCAGGGCGACAGCGCCCCGCTCTGCAGGACTCCGGCAGGACACGGAGGTGAGACGTGTGCCAGTTCACGGCTGTGGCCGATGCGATGCGGGGCCTCGCAGCCCAGGCCCAGGAGCACCGCCACGCACTGGCTGTGCTGGCCCGGCCGTGTTCAGCCTCGCCGTTCGCGTCCACACCAACCGTGCAAAGCGAGGCCTGCCCGGCGCGGCGCCTGCGGCAGCACGGAGAGAGAAGTTGGAAGTTGTGCTGAGTGCAGTGAGGCTCTCCCAAGGACGCACATCCCGGCGACCGCACGGACCGGACCGGACCGGCCGCAGGTGGAGCGGCGGGCGCGCGAGTCCCGGTTCCGGATGAAGACGCCGCAGGGTGGGCAGTGGGCCCACAGCGTGGAGTGCTGGATACCCTGTGCCACACGCTTGCTTAAAAGCAGCAGGGCGGGGGCAGGACCTGTGGTCCTAGCACTCACTAGGGAGGCTAAGGCAGGCAGGTCACAAGTTCAAACTCAGCCTGAACTGTAATGAGACCTCTTTCAAAAAAGTAAGGCAATATGGCCAAGACGGTAAATCTTAGATGTATTCTGTCAGCATTTCCAAATTCGGTCACTGGATAAACTCTAAAGGGCCTTTCGCCTCTGAGAGTCTGAAATCTGGAGAGCAGAAAGAGTGGACCATGACCATCCAAACCCACTGCCTCACTGAAAGCTCTGCTTCCACCCCAACTGTCTTCCCTCCGGAGCCCTCCTGTCCAAGGCAGTCCTCGCCCTTTCCTGCAGCCTCCGCCCGCACCTCGGCCCTGCATCCTCCTGCCTCTGCCTCCTCAGCCCTGCTCCTTGGGATGCCCGTGTCACACAGAGACGTGACCGTGTCACGGGAGAGGACACGCGTGCACCAGACAGCGAGGGCCTGGAGAAGAGGCACTGTGCGGGGAGGTCCAGGCCTCAGGAGACCCACGCAGAGATGGTTCCCACCAGCCTGAGCGCCGGCCCTCAGTCTGGCCTCCGGTTCAGCCGGCATGGAGGAGGCCTGCCCCGGAGCGCCAGCCGGGCAGGCTCCCTCAGGTGGACCGGCCTGCGGGCTGCTCCCTCCAGTCGGCCTGTCGCTGCCGCGCGTCGGCAGACTCGTGTGACACAGGCCTCCCTCTCTCAGTGCACGCTGCCTCTTCAGCCGGGCTTGAGGGGCACGCCTGTGATCCCAGCACTCGGGAGGCTGAGGCGGGAGGATCACTGGGAGTTCAGGGCCAGCCTGGGCTACACAGTGAGACCCTGCCTCAAAACAACAGCAGCAGCAAACAGAAGAAGACAAAAAGACCAACCATTGGGCCTCACAGCCCAGCGTGGGCCTGGCTGCCAACAGAAGGCCGAGCACCATGTCCTTTGCTCAGCAGATCCCAAGCCTGGCTGCTGGGCCCCTGGATTCACAGGCGGGTTCCACCCACCCCAAGGTCCTGCACGGCTGGCGGAGCCGAGCTCGCCTGACGGGAGCACCGACATGCCTGCACACAGGACAGCAGGGCCTGCACACAGGACAGCAGGGGCTGCACGGGGCGGGGCGGCTGGGCCTCAGCCTTGCGGCCTGCTTCAGTTGGGGCAGGGGCTGCGGGTGCCTCGTCCGGGGCTCCAAGCTGTCCCGGTCACTGTCGGCCCTGTGCGAGGCCCTGTGCCGGGGCCTTGGTGAGCCTGGAAGGCGGGCGCAGAGGCGCCCCATGGGACCGAGGGAGCCCTCGCCCCTGGAGCCCGGCCGCCTCCTGCCCTGTACTGGCCGGGAGGAAGGAGCCGGGAACCTGCTGGCCTCACAGCCAGAGTGGCGGTGGGCGCAGCCTCTCGGCGTCCCCTCCACTGGCCGCTTTGCTGCTGCAGACCGGGTCCGTGCAGAGCGCAGGGCCTCCCTGGGGAATGGGAATGGCGCCCTCCTGACCCGGACGTGCACCTGGCAGGCACAGCGCCTGCCCGACAACCCAGCCTTGCCCCACGATCGCAACAGCTGCGATTCCTGTCCTTCCCTGGCTGCCACAGGCCCCGGGGCCATCAAGCACCATTCCCCCAAGGGCCATGGGAAGGAGACCTTGTCAGTGGGGCTGGGCCCGTGGGAAGGACCGAGGACGGCGATGGGGAGACCGCGGGGACCTTGCAGTTCAGAAGCCTAGGTGGATCGGGAGCCAGGCCGCACGTCTCCACAGGACTGTGCCGGTCGGTCCCCAGAGCGGGACTACGGAAGAAAGTCACTCGAGGAGCAGGCTGAGACCGGCCTGATCCTGAGCCGAGAGCGGCTTTTTCCAAAGGCTGCCTGCTGGGTGTTTTGCACGAAATCTTTGACTAAGTGCACATCTTTGAAAGACATTTCGTTAAAGTTCAACTTTCATGGCTTCTACCTGTAGACCTTCACGTAAATCCTGCCCGCACGGACAGAGCTGAGTGGGCGTCATCTGTGACCTGAGACTAAAGGTCAACCGTTGAATTTATAGCTTTTTTAGTGGAAAGAGCATAAAGAACCCTGCTGACTGGAGTCCATCCGTATTTTAATGTTTCCTAGTTAAGACTATGACATGAAGGGACTGGGCTCCTGCCGCTCAGTGAAGGTCACATCAGCTGTGACG